TGCTGCACCACGGTCAGCTGTTGCTGCACCACGGTCAGCTGTTGCTGCACCACGGTCAGCTGTTGCTGCACCACGGTCAGCTGTTGCTGCACCACGGTCAGCTGTTGCTGCACCACGGTCAGCTGTTGCTGCACCACGGTCAGCTGTTGCTGCACCACGGTCAGCTGTTGCTGCACCACGGTCAGCTGTTGCTGCACCACGGTCAGCTGTTGCTGCACCACAGTCAGCTGTTGCTGCACCACGGTCAGCTGTTGCTGCACCACGGTCAGCTGTTGCTGCACCACGGTCAGCTGTTGCTGCACCACGGTCAGCTGGTTGCTGCACCACGGTCAGCTGTTGCTGCACCACGGTCAGCTGTTGCTGCACCACGGTCAGCTGTTGCTGCACCACGGTCAGCTGTTGCTGCACCACGGTCAGCTGTTGCTGCACCACGGTCAGCTGTTGCTGCACCACGGTCAGCTGTTGCTGCACCACGGTCAGCTGTTGCTGCACCACGGTCAGCTGTTGCTGCACCACGGTCAGCTGTTGCTGCACACGGTCAGCTGTTGCTGCACCACGGTCAGCTGTTGCTGCACCACGGTCAGCTGTTGCTGCACCAAGGTCAGCTGTTGCTGCACCACGGTCAGCTGTTGCTGCACCACGGTCAGCTGTTGCTGCACCACGGTCAGCTGTTGCTGCACCACGGTCAGCTGTTGCTGGACCGGTCAGCTGTTGCTGGACCGGTCAGCTGTTGCTGGACCGGTCAGCTGTTGCTGGACCGGTCAGCTGTTGCTGGACCAGTCAGCTGTTGCTGGACCAGTCAGCTGTTGCTGGACCAGTCAGCTGTTGCTGGACCAGTCAGCTGTTGCTGCACCACGGTCAGCTGTTGCTGGACCAGTCAGCTGTTGCTGCACCATGGTCAACTGTTGCTGGACCAGTCAGCTGCTGCTGCACCACAATCAGCTGTTGCTACACCACAGTCAGCTGTTGCTGCACCACCATCTGCTGTACTACTCAAAGATGTTGAGAGAGTGCTGTTGGTGTGGCTTAACGTGAAACAATTACTGAGAAACGATTAACCCTCAGAGGGTTAGCCACCCAGGATAACCCAAGAAAGCCAGTGCATCATCGAGGACTGTAACTTATTTCCATTGGGGTCCTTAATCTTGTCCCCCAGGATGCGACCCACAACAGTCAAGTAACACCCAGGTGAACAGGAAAAAATGCCTGGAACTAGTGCTCATGTTGGTGAATTTAAGGCCAACAAAGGTTGGTTTGAGAGATTTAAGAATTGTAGTGGCATACACAGTGCAATAAGGCATAGTGAAGCTGAAAAATTCAACCCCCAACAAGTGTTCAATTGTGATGAAATAGGCCTGTTCTGGAAGAAAATGCCAAACAGGACCTACATTACTCAGGAGGAAAAGGCACTCCCAGGACACAAGCCTATGAAAGACAGGCTAACTCTCATGTTTTGTTGTAATGCTAGTGGGGATTGCAAAGTGAAGTCTTTACTGGTGTATCACTCTGAAAATCCCAGTGTTCAAGAAAAACAGTGTCTCATCACTCATCAATACTCTTCAATAAAGGTAAGTGTCATTTTAACATTTATTTATGTAGTTATTGTGCATGTCTTATTGTTTTCTTTGTAGGGAAATGTATATTTCATGAAAAAAAAAAATTAACACTTTTGGCTGTCTGGAACAGATTAATTGGATTTCCATTATTTCTTATGGGGAAAATCAACTCGGCTAACGATAATTTCGGCTAACAATGAGCTCTCAGGAATGGATTAATATCGTTAGGCGAGGGTCCATTGTATGTATATGGAATAGGTGGTAAGTTACCAAATGCTGGAAGGAGTTTTTATGAGGACAGTGAGGCTCAGGTTAGGGTGTGTAGAAGAGAGGGAGAATACTTCCCAGTAAAAGTAGGTCTTAGACAGGAATATGTAATGTCACCATGGTTGTTTAATATATTTATAGATGGGGTTGTAAAAGAAGTAAATGCTAGGGTATTCGGGAGAGGGGTGGGATTAAATTATGGGGAATCAAATACAAAATGCAGTTACTTTTTGCTGATGATACTGTGCTTATGGGTGATTCTAAAGAAAAATTGCAAAGGTTAGTGGACGAATTTGGGAGTGTGTGTAAAGGTAGAAAGTTGACAGTGAACATAGAAAAGAGTAAGGAGATGAGAGTATCAAATGATTTAGATAAAGAAAAATTGGATATCAAATTGGGGAAGAGGAGTATGGAAGAAGTGAATGTTTTTAGATATTTGGGAGTTGACATATCAGCAGATGGATTTATGAAGGATCAAGTTAATCATAGAATTGATGAAGGAAAAAAAGTGAGTGGTGCGTTGAGGTATATGTGGAGACAAAGAACTTTATCTATGGAGGCAAAGAAGGGAATATGTGAAAGTATAGTGGTACCAACACTCTTACATGGGTGTGAAGCTTGGGTGGTAAATGCTGCAGCAAGGCGGTGGTTGGAGGCAGTGGACGTGTCCTGTCGCATTGTGTGGTGTAAATATTATGCAGAAAATTTGGAGTGTGGAAATTAGGAGAAGGTGTGGAGTTAATAAAAGTATTAGTCAGAGGGCTGAAGAGGGGTTGTTGAGGTGGTTTGGTCATTTAGAGAGAATGGATCAAAGTAGAATGACATGGAGAGCATATAAATCTGTAGGGGAAGGAAGGCGGGGTAGGGGTCGTCCTCAAAAGGGTTGGAGGGAGGGGGTAAAGGAGGTTGTGTGGGCGAGGGGCTTGGATTTCCAGCAAATGTGCGCGAGCGTGTTAGGAGTGAATGGAGACGAATGGTATTTGGGACCTGATGAGCTGTTGGAGTGTGAGCAGGGTAATATTTAGTGAAGGGATTCAAGGAAACCGGTTATTTTATATAGCCGGACTTGAGTCCTGGAAATGGGAAGTACAATGCTTGCAATTTAAAGGAGGGGTTTGTGATATTGGCAGTTTGGAGGGATATACAGGAGGGCCCCACTTATACGGCGGGTTAGGTTCCAGGCTACCGCCATAAAGCGGAAACCGCCGTAAAGTGGAACACCCTTTTTTTCCACTTGGGAAATGCATACAAACACTAGATAACAAGTTTACACTAACATATATTATGTTAGCAATAGAACCAGGCATCAAAAAAACAATAAAAAAGTACAATACACACATAGTGCACTCATTACTTACCTTAAAATATTTATAGTCTTAATCTAGGGTGAGACAAGTAGTATTTATTGTAAGAAATCAAGTGTGGTATGTATGGTATCAGCCAGGCTACCATACCAGAGAGAAAGAATAAATTTGCATGAGGAGAGGACAGGCGCAGAGTTATGTAAACAAACCAGGCGAAGGTAAGTTTTGTAAACAGTTGTACATGTCTGGTTTGTGTACAAGTTACATTGTGTACAGGTTGTCTCTACATTGTACGGTAGAATAAATAAAGAAGAACACTCCCATTCTCATGTAACATTCATTTTTTAGAAGAAATGATGCTCTGAGTGAAGGCAATGGAAGTAAGTCACTCTGACTTTTTTGGGTTATCCTAGGTTCTCTACACATAGTTATGTATTTATGTTATGTATCGTGTTTATTATATAATTTTGAAAAAAATATCACGGATGGATTAATGAAAATGTGTATATTAACGTAATATACAAATTTAATGATACACCGAGCTCAGACAGCGTAAACAAACAAACTGAACAGGTTGTGGACGATCACCCCCATCAGGCGAAATAGACTGTATTAATAGTGTCCAGTTTTAGTTCATTCTGTACATTTGTAAGGTTTGTGAAACTTTTTACCTTATAATATTTTTATTATTATTATAATAAATTTAAAACACGAAACAAATACTCTTACACTGTGTACAAGTTAGTACAGAAATTTTAGCTATAAAGTGAAGGCATACGAAAGGAATTTTTTTTTCTACAGTATCCCTAGTAACAGGTGACGGGCTAGAGAAAAAAGTAATTCTTCCGACACTTCTACAAACCGTTTGGTAAACATCTCATATATATTTGTATAAATTTTTTATACTTTTGGGTGCATTATCATGTTTGTGTGGTTACATAATGTGTTTCTTATATAATTTTGAAAAAAAATATCATGATAGTTAAGGGAAATGTCTAATTAACGTAATATGCGACATTAATGCGCCCAAGAGATTATTATTATTATTATTATTATTATTATTATTATTATTATTGCATCAAGAGTAGAGAGACTTAGTGATTTTAATGTGTACCTACATCCCAGCACAGTGTGTAAGTTTATTTAGGTACAGGTGTACACAAGTTTAATTATCAAGTACAATACATATAAAATATACAATAACTTTAAAACACTTGAAATTTTGGAAAGTTTCCAGACATAATAAGGAGATGTGCTCAGGGAGAATGTAAAACTCGGTGGGCAGCTGTGACCGTATTAGAAAGACAGGTGGGGGGAGCCATATAGCGAGTTTTGGTCATAATTTGAAATGTCCGTATTAGCGGAACGCCGTAAAGCGAACCGCCGTAAAGCGGGGCCCTGCTGTATTGTGTATTTTTATACGTATATACTTCTAGACTGTTATATTCTGAGCACCTCTGCAAAAACAGTAATTATGTGTGAGTGAGGTGGAAGTGTTGGATGATGATGAAAGTATTTTCTTTTTTGGGATTTTCTTTCTTTTTGGGTCACCCTACCTCGGTGGGAGATGGGCGACTTGTTAAAAAAAAAAATTAGGTACCACGATGAAGAACTTGCCAAACTATGTTAACATTGGTTGATGATGTGCCAAAGCTTGTAGCAGTTCTTAAAAAAGCAAAGGGTAGTCATGTCTCTTATTAAATCCGTTATCTGTCATGTCATTGCTGTATATTTTTCAAATAAACATTAATTTTCCAAATTGTCTTATTTCATCACTGTCCCAATTAATATGCACACTACTGTCATTTGAACATTCACTGTGTTGTTAAATTTGATATTGAAAGTCATAATTATAAGCAAAAAACAATTTCAGCATGAGGTTTGGGAGGCCCACCAGATGAAGCTAACAAAATTCATAAGAACAGAGTCCTCTCCACCCATCTTTTGGTTGCCACGGCAGCACAATTCCAGGACCACCAACCTCTTGCGGGTTACACACGATATTATCCTGCGTATGTTGATGCAAGATATCTCAAAGTTTAAAAGCTAAAATCAGTTCTTTTATTTAGCTCTCTACTTGAAGTCTTCAGTGCTTTTACCTCTTGTACAGAAGGAAAATTAGAAGGTTTTTAAGGATTCAAATAAAAGTCAGAAATCAAATTTTTTATTGTTCTGAGCACTATTAAGCCTGAAGAAGTAAATTGAACTGGCATTTTGTATTCAGCAGTTGTTTAATGGGAGAAACTTGTTCCACTTTTCTTTTAATGTGCAATTTTTTCTTCCATGAGACTGAATGACCATTTTGAGTTAAAAGCTTTTCATGACATTAATGTAAATAGTTGATGACCAATATTTTTTTCTTGACTTGTACTGGTACCCCTTTTAAGAATAGGTACAGTACGATATCAGGTTACCTTGGTGCATTTATTTAGGAATACCACTACAATTTACAGGTGAACTGGAACAGGATCGTCAGCGGATGAAGGAGGAACTGGAAGAGATACTTGGAACACGAGCAGAGGAGGATCAGGGCGAGGAGGGCAGGGATGCACCTGAGGGGGGGGAGACCTACGTGCGCAGGGGGGTCCGCTCAGAGGTCAACAGGCAGGGGGAGGGGGGTGGCAATGACACTCTCGATAACTGTCCAGGTAAGTCTTTTAATTTCCCCAGAAGTTGGTAAAAATTTTGCTGAATCCTGTGTATGCATAATTTGTTGAGTGTGCCTTACTTTTACTTTCTGTGACATACAGTAGCATTGAATGCTGGCTGTAGCTAGATGTGAGTGTGTGTTTGACTGTGTGTGTGCATTCTTAACCCTTACAGGGTTTCGGCCGTACTAGTACAGCTTACGCCCCAGGGTTTTTGACGTACTAGTACGCCTAAATTCTAGCGCCCTCATATCTAGTGAGAGAAAGCTGGTAGGCCTACATATGAAAGAATGGGTCTCTGTGGTCAGTGTGCGCAGTATAAAAAAAATCTGCAGCACACGGTGTGTAATGAGAAAAAAAAAAACTTTTTGGATTAAAACAACGACTTTGCACTCTATTTTCGTATGGTATTTATTGTTGTATTCTAGTTTTCCTGGTCTCATTTTATTGAATGGAAGACATATTACAGAAATTGAGATGATTTTAACTGGTTTTACAATGTAAAGTACCTTGAAATTGACCTCAAAGTAGCAGAAATGTTCGATTTTTACTAAAGTTCAAAAGTAAACAAATGCCAAGCGTCCAATACATGTCAACTGGTGAGTCTAATATTCTTTCACAAGTGCGCTGATATTATTTATACCATTTCTACGCCATTTCTATACTAATGCAGTAGTCTGCATAACAGTAAATCTATTTTTTGTGAGAATAAAAATTCAAGAGTGGAAAGCCAAAGAAATATAAGAGGGCCTGGGGATGTGACTAACGAACGGAGAACTTGTTATTTTAGTGCCAGGAATGTCATTCTTGTTTATTCTGGACCCTGTTCGGGAATTGGTATGTTTTGAAATTTGTGTGAAATTGGCAAAATTGCTAAATTCTGACTACTTTATTGGATAGTTGAAATTGGTAAATGGGTGGTTTTTTGTGCTCATTCGATAGAAGAAATGGAGTTCTAGCAAATTAGTCATGATTTTTGTTGACTAGTACACTGGAATTGGCAGAACATAGGGCTCAAAGTGGGCAAAATTGCCGATGCATATGCATCGTTGAGACCGCTAACTTCACGAGAGCATAATTCCGTAAATTTTCCATCAAATTTCATACTTTTGGTGTCATTATGATCGGGAAAAGATTCTCTATATTTTCATAAGAAAACATTTTTTTTTTATTTTAAAATTTGGGGACCCTGAGAACAAGTCTTGGAGAGGGCCTGAGGACCCTGAAAGGGTTATGTTGTCACCTGCATGCATAATTACCAATTTATTGTTACAGGAGTAGAGCAGTGGTTGTCATCAATCATTAATTGGTTTATCATATTTGTTTTTTCCTCTTAAATTGACTTTTGCAATTGTGTGATTGTTGCTTTTTGTAGCTACTTGCTACAAAGACTTTGATCTTTAATGAATTATGTAGTTAGACTGGTATTGTCATTCCCATTTGGGATTTGTATTAGTCCCTACTTGTATAACCCACATTGGCTCCCTATCAAGGCAAGAACTGAATTTAAATTTTATTACCGTTTAACCCTTAAATTGTCCAAGTGTAGATCTACCTTTGCATGCGTAGTGCTCCATACATAGTTAGTGTTTTATTTTTCATTCCTTTTAATTTGGCACAATAGGCTTGAGTCTCCTAGACATGAAAGAATGGGTCAGTGCACTCAGTGTGTGCACTATTAAAAAAAATCTGGGAGCACTTAGTACCTTGTGGGAGCACCAGTTCAACTGAGCACCAGCTAGAGCAAATAGTGTGGCAAACACCAGGGATTCACTGATGCTATGTTGCATTAACACACCCATTTTAAGAGGAAAGTAAAAATAGGTTAGATAAATGCTTGAGTGAATGATGTGGGTGGAGGCGAGTTAGACCTGACTGGCTTGTGCTACTAAGTCTGATGTGATGCTTCTTCCTTCAATGGATGACCTGACTAGGTGGGTCATTGTTCTAAGGCAGGAGAGGGGGTGACATGTACCTACCTTGCATGGGCCAGTAGGCTTGTTGCAGTGTTCCTTCTTTCTTATGTTCTTATATATTAGGCAAGCTGGCTGGCTGGCTTGCTTTGGCTGTCTCTGGCTCTCTCTCTGTCTATATCTCTATCTGTCTATCTCTCTCTCTATATGTATATATATCTGTCTGTCTGTATCTCTATTTATCTATATCTCTATCTATATCTCTGTCTCACATGTACACATAAGTACAGTTATTATACATAGTGTAAATTATCTAGGATAATCCAAAAATTCCAGACAAAGATAAACAAACAGACAGATAGATAGACAGACAGAAACATGTTTGTGTGTATCAGTGAAACAAATAAAGCCAGGGTTCCCCAAGCACCCATTTATCAAATGTCACTGAGCTGATAACAGATGTCATAACATGATTCTTCAAGGAGTGTGATATACATATACTCCAGGCAAACAGAAAGACAGATAAGCAGAGACAGACAGACAAGCAGGCAGATATAGACACTGACAGATAAATAGAGACAAGACATGTTTGTGTGTAACAGTGATAACAAATACAGAGAGGGTTAGCTAGAGCAGTGGGCATTTATCAAATGTCACTGGGCTGTCAACAGTATAGGGATGCCTTTCATAACAATATGCTTCAAGGTATATGCCAGGGTACCTAAAACATTGCTGGGACCTATAAATACTCTGTATGTATTTATAGACAAAAGTAAATAACCCAGGCAGGTGTAAATGTTCGCCTGTCAATGTGATTGTGACTATTTGAGCACTATTTCACTATGTAATATTAGTGTCAGAACAAAGATTGGTTATGAAATTACAAGACCTATTATCAATTGTAATTATCAGAAATTGAAAAATATATAAATTAAAATAAAAACGAGAAAAAAAGGTATATCGGCAACACGTCTTTCTGCCAGTGGCAGGAGTCGATGTTTCCGACAAGTGAGCATCCAGAGCCAACTTCACGGTCTTATATCTTGGTAAGTACTGACCCTAAAATTTTTTTTTGTAATCCTATAACATGTAGAAAAATGCGCTCTTCATTTTAAAAGAAAAAAAGATTTTTATATTTTTCAAAATATTCGGAGCGCCACGCGAGTGAACGTAATCTACGTTTGGACAGTTTAAGGGTTAAAGTTATTAATCTTAATTAACCCAAGTATCTTGTTGATATTCTTGTTCCTTATACATCGTGCATGGGAATGTGTCTGCGATTGGCCTTTGACCCTTTTAGATTTGTTGGGCCACTTGCTGTTGGATAAATCATTTGCAGACAGAACCTCTTTGTATGTAACTCTTGACTCTTAACAGTGTTAAGAGTCAGGAATGTCAGCATAATTCAACATATATTAGCTGTGATGCCACGGACTTCAAGTACTGTCAGGTCAGCAGGTTCAAACACTGCTAGACGCCCCGCAGTGATGGGTAGTCAGTCAGACACGTACCTTCGAGCAGACAGGACAACACTGCAGGCTGGGCTTCCTACTACCTATTCTCAATATATCAGTTTACCGTCTCAGTGATTATCATTTACCACCTGTACTCCACTTAATAAATATATATATATATATATATATATATATATATATATATATATATTATATATGTTCTCCATGGGGAAGTGGAACAGAATTCTTCCTCCGTAAGCCATGCGTGTTGTAAGAGGCGACTAAAATGCCGGGAGCAAGGGGCTAGTAATCCCTTCTCCTGTATATATTACTAAATTTGAAAGGAGAAACTTTGGTTTTTTCTTTTGGGCCACCCTGCCTCGGTGGGATACGGCCGGTGTGTTGAAAGAAAGAAGATTATATATGTATATATATATATAATTATGTATATATGTATATGTATATATGTATATGTATATGTATATATGTATGTATATGTATATATGTATGTATATGTATATATGTATGTATATGTATATATGTATGTATATGTATATATGTATGTATATGTATATATGTATGTATATGTATATATGTATGTATATGTATGTATATATATATATATATATATCTTCTTCTTTCAACGTACCAGCCGAATCCCACCGAGGTGGGGTGACATAAAAGGAAAAATGAAAGTTTCTCCTTCAAATTTAGTAATATATACAGGAGAAGGGGTTACTAGCCCCTTGCTCCCGGCATTTCAGTTGCCTCTTACAACACGCATGGCTTACAGAGGAAGAATTCTGTTCCACTTCCCCATGGAGATAAGAGGAAATAAACAAGAACAAGAACTAGAAAGAAAATAGAAGAAAACCCAGAGGGGTGTGTGTATATATATGCTTGTACATGTATGCGTAGTGTGACCTAAGTGTAAGTAGAAGTAGCAAGACATACCTGAAATCTTGCATGTTTATGAGACAGACAAAAGACACCAGCAATCCTACCATCATGTAAAACAATTACAGGCTTTCGTTTTACACTCACTCGGCAGGACGGTAGTACCTCCCTGGGAGGTTGCTGTCTACCAACCTACTACCTATAATATATATATATATATATATATATATGTATATGTATATGTATAGGTAGTAGGTTGGTAGACAGCAACCACCCAGGGAGGTACTACCGTCCTGCCAAGTGAGTGTAAAACGAAAGCCTGTGATTGTTTTACATGATGGTAGGATTGCTGATGTCTTTTGTCTGTCTCATAAATATGCGAAATTACAGGCATGTCTTGCTACTTCTACTTACACTTAGGTCACACTACACATACATGTACACATTTATTTATACACACTCATCTGAGTTTTCTTAGATTTTATTTTAATAGTTCTTGGTCTTATTAATTTTCCTTTTATATCCATGGGGAAGTGGAATAAGAATCTTTCCTCCGTAAGCCATGCGTGTTGTAAAAGTCAACTAAAATGCCGGGAACAATGGGCTAGTAACCCCTTTTCCTGTAAAGATTACTAAAAAGAATAAGAAGAAGAAAATTGTCAAAGTGGGAAGTCTGAATGTGCGTGGATGTTGTGCAGATGATAAGAAAGAGATGATTGTGGATGTTATGAATGAG